GTGACTGTGTGTTTTGTTCTTCTTGTAACTCAGAAGTGATAAGGTTTAGGACCCATCTTGCAGTGGAATGAACATTAACATAACAAGGAAAACCCTGTCTCCAAAGAGGGTCATATCCAGAGGTACGTGGTTCTACCACATTTGTGAGGGCACAATCCATTCCATATTGAATGTGGCTTAGTTTCAGTGTTTATTGCCACCCATTATAATAAATCTCTTAAAAATCTTTTACATTGTTTAATTATATGGATTCTAGGCGCTGTTTAGGACAGAGTAGAACTGCCCCATAGGGTTTCCTAGGCTGTAATCTTTACAGAAGCAAAGCCCAAACCAATCCACTACCGTGGACTCGATTCCAACTCACAGCACCCCTAGAGGACAGGGTGAAACTGCCCCAGAGGGTTTCCAAACAAAAAAAACTCACTGCCATCAAGTTGGTCCCGACTCATAGCAACCCCTCCTTGGGTTTCCGAGGTGGTATCTCCATGGAAGTAGATTGCCCAGTCTTCCTTCCGAGGAGTGGCTGGTGACTTTGAACTGCCAGTCTTCTGTTTAGTAGTCAAATGCCTTAGGCACTATGCCACCAGAGCTCCTGGAGGAGACTATAACCAAAAAAAACCAAACTCGCTGCCATCAAGTCAAATCCGACTCATGGCGACCACCTCTTGGGTTTCTGAGGTGATATCACTATGGGAGTAGATTGCCCAGTCTTCTTTCCAAGAAGTGGCTGGTGGGTTTGAACCGCCAGCCTTTTGGTTAGCAGTCAAGGCCTTAGGCACTGCACCAGCAGAGTTCCTGAGGGTTTCCAAGGCACTCTGATATTTACAGAAGAAGATTGCCAGGTCTTTCTCCCACAGAGAAGATGGTGGGTTCGAACCACTGACTTTGAGTTCGAAACTAAGCAGTTAACCACTGTGCCACCAGAATACTTCCTTGAGGGTAAAGTTATTAGAAATTTAGATTCCCAAGCCGTTGAGAAAAAGGAAAGGCAACTGATCTGGACCACAATAGATGGATTCTGATAGAATAGGAGGAAAATGTGGACCAGAACTCAAATTCTTATAAAGTCCAAATTCACTGGACCAGTTTGAGACTAGCAGACTCCCTGGGACTAACTATCATTCTGAGATATATTTTAAACTTTGAGTGAAAACTATCCCTTGAGGTCACCTTTTGTAAATACCAGATTGGTATGCAAAATAAAGAATATCACTCAGAAGGACTGGACTCCTTGAAAAACCAAAGGGTCAGCAATGACTTTCAAACAAAGATTAGAAGGGAAAGGGGACGGGAGAACCAGAGGCCTGGAAGCGAGGCATCAGACCAGAATGAATGAGGATGTTAGCGTGTGAGAATGGAACCAGTGTCCTCAAGAACTGGGAACCAAATTTGCTGTGTAAACTTTCACCGAAAACGCATAAAATGTTATTTAAAAACAAAGAAAAAAGGAAGTGCATGCAGGGGACTGTCCCATCACCATGTTGAGCTCCTTGTATTCAAATCATCCTTCCATCCCTCTCATCACACTGGCTTCTCCCTACTGCCCCCTTCCTTTTTTTTCTTGGTTAGGTCCTCCAGTAAATTAGGATTGAAACCTCTGAAGCATATGTGACCTTACCCTCTGTGTTCCAAACCCCAGCTCACCTACCACGACATTGTTGAATTGACTGCCTCTTCCGTCCCTATCTCTGCCCTGGTAAAGCCTCTGTGCCCACCCCCTCCAGCTAACCCAGCTTCTTCCCTTTGGTTCTGTGGTTCCAGACCCCCTCACCCCAGCCCACACACGCATTCCCAGCCCTCCTTTCCTGTTGTGGTGAAGCCATTTCTCTTCAGCCCTGCTCTCCTCACACTCGCCACCATCACTACAATAATAACTGTCTTCTCTCTCTCTCTCCCTTTTTTTCTTTTTTAATTTTTATTGTGGTGAAAACATATACAACAAGACATTCACCAACATGACAACTTCCACATTACAGCTCAGGGACATTGATGACATTTTTAATGCTGTGCCACCACAATTGCTATACTTTTCCAAAATATCCCACCACCACTACTATAAACTCAGTGCCCCAAAACAAAAGATTCCCCTTTCCCCCTCCCTGCTACGCCTGGTAACCACTAATAAACTTTGTTCTCTATAGATAGAGGAATGGGTGGATAGATGGATGGATGGATGGGTAGGTAGGTAGGTAGACTTTTTTTTTCCAACCTATCTAGAAATTTTCCCTCCTCTCCTCTCCCATCCCCAATAACCAACACAGAATGTTTCCTTCCATATATAACCCTTTCCTTGACTTTGTAAAGTAGTGGACTCATACAGTATTTGTCCTTCTGTGATTGACTTACTTTATTCACCATAATGTCCTCCATTAGTAGCTGTCTTTTTTTCGAGCCCCAACTGTGGACCAGGAATGCCAGGAGCTCAACACACGTCACCTCATTTAAGTCTCCAAGAAGCTAAAAACAACAACAACAACAACAAAAACTCACTGCCGTAGAGTCGGATCCAACTCATAGCAACCCCTCCTTGGGTTACCGAGGCGGTAACACTATGGAAGTAGACTGCCCAACCTTCCTTCTGAGGAGTGGCTGGTGGGTTTGAACCACCAGCCTTCTGGTTAGCAGTCAGAGGAAGTGGCTTTTGTGAGATCTGTGCCTACAACGGGGCAGGGAGGGAATTTGGAGACAGGTCTCTGTGTTTCTAACCCCTTCTTCTTCTATAGCATCAAAGGCCCTGTCTTTAACCCCTGTCACTCCTGTGCTCACGACCCCAACATAGCAGCCCATTGCTCATTCGTCCTGGAGACTGTCCACACTGGGCCCAGCTATCCTTCTACTTTCGTCTCTTATTCCTTCCAGTATTCTTATACCATGTGCTTCAAATTAAATCACATTCTCCCCCAATCAGGCGCCATCTCCGACATCTTGAAGAGCCAGCTTGCCACCTTCCACAAAAACTTCCTCTGTACTCCTCACAAAGGGATGTTCTCCTACTACGTGGTTTGTACCTCACCAATTATGTTTCCCAACTTTCTGGTTTGAGTCATAAATATTAAGAATATATTTGCTCTTTCTATGCTCCAGTGCACCCTCTCCCGATCACCACTCTGGCCTCATCAGAGTACCAGCCCCTTAAGGACAAGAGCCGTCTGTCTCCTGTCATTGGGTGCTGTAGCAGCACACACAGCACCTGTCAGCCATTCCACTGGAGAAATTCGTGACGGAGAGTCCCTGGGCTTATACAAGATGGCTGAGGCCAGCGTCCAATAAAGCAAACCTTCTCAGCTCCATGATAGTTATCCTTGGAGAGTCACCTGTTGTCCAGAGCAGCCACTGAATATGAAGGTGGCCCATCCAAAATGCTGCACCCGCCCTTAAAACCATCTCTCGCTCTCTGGTAAATGTGCTTGTCTTCAGTACATGGTGCTGCTGGAGGCTGGTTCCTGGCTTGTAGATGATCCTCACAGGTGTCTGTCTGCCCCCATGGGTGTGGTTTGTGTCCATTCCACTCTGTTTATAACTCAGAGATGATTAAGTGTAGGATCCACCCAGCTCTGGTGTGGCGGCATTAACACAGCAGAAGAAAACCCTTGCGTCCAAACAGGATCACATCCCTCAGGTACCAACCCCACCCGGACCCACCAAAACAGTTCCAACTCACAGCGTCCCTAGAGGACTGAGTGGAACTGTCCCCAGAGGGTTCCCAAGGCTGTCAGTCTTCACAGAAGCAAAGCCCAAACCACAGCCACTGCCTTCAAGTCTGTTCCCACTCATAGCAACCCTGTAGGACATAGAGTAGAACTGCTTCAGAGAGTTTCCAAGGCTGGCAGTCTTCACAGAAGCAGACAACTTCGTCTTTCCCTCACAAAGCAGCTAGTGGGTTTGAACTGCTAACCCTCTGTTTTAGCAGTTAAACGCTTGAACTACTGCAACAACCAGAGCTCCTTCCATAGGTACAGGGTCCAGGACTTCATTGTATGCTTTTTGGGGACACAGTTCAGTTCCTAACAGTGCTGTAGGATTCCTAATTCTGATATTGAGAACTGAGTCTTTATTTATGACCTTTTAATTTTACTAATAGTATTTTAGTAATAGTATTGCCTTGCTGGTGGAAGTAGGACATTTTTTAAAAAATAGTTAAATTTTTGCTTTTTTCCCCCCTTATCAGACTTTTCAGCACATTTCTTAGAAATATTAGTGCCATGTATGTATATATGTGTGTGTGCTGTAACAGAGACTAAGAATGTATGTACACACACACACACACACACACACACAAAGAGCTGTGGTGGCGTAAGGCCTAAGGCATTTGACTGCTAACTAGAAGACTGGCAGTTCAAACCCACCAGCCACTCTGTGGAAGGAATACTGGGCAGTCTACTTCTGTAAAGATTTACCCCTTCAGGAATCTCTTCAAAAGGGGTCACTGAGTTGGAATCAACTCGATGGCAGTGTTTGGGGTTTTATGCATATATAGGAGCTTTGGTGGCACAGTGCCTAAGACATCTGACTGTTAATTAGAAGGTTGATGGTTCAAGCCTACCAGCTGCTCCATGGAAGGAAGATGGGGCAGTCTACTTCTATAAAGATTTACTGCCTCAGAAACCCAAAAGGTTTGGAAACCTATGCGTTGGAATTGACTCAATGGCAATGAGTTTGTTTCTTTAGTGTGTGTGTGTGTGTGTGTGTATTTATTTACTAATATCTACTTTAGAATGCAAATTTCTAGCTAGATCACAGATAACTCATTCAGTATCTGAACTCATATGTTAACATTGTGTGTAAAGTTAGTGCTATCCTCTGAAACATTCCATGTCACACTTCCGGTAGCACCTAACTTTAGTCCTTGTTAGCATCAGCTGGACCTTGGAGTTAAAATATTTGTAGACATTTTCTGAGCAACTCAGCCTTGGCAGTATTCTCCAAGGTGATGTCTTCTTGCGTCGTCTAGAAAAACTTGTGCCAGCTATGTCTCTGACACCCTGCCCTCCTTGCTTTAGTTTCTACAGATGGAGGTACCGAGTCCTCGACCTTAGTCGATGACAATGGGAGTGAGGAGGACTACAGCTACGAGGATCTCTGCCAGGCCAACCCTCGCTACCTGCAGCCTGGTGGGGAGCAGCTAGCCATCAATGAGGTACTGGAGCACACCGACGGTGAATCACCCAATTCCAGCATCCACAGTCAGGGCACGGTTGGCCACCTGACTTCTTGTTTTAAAATTTCAGTGTACTCTGAAACCTACAACTCTGATCCACACAGCACTAGAACTTTCTGGCATTGCCAGGGCAAAGCCGTGTGCTTCAATTTGCCAGGTAACTAGAGTACCCTTCAAGGAATAACAACAGAGTGTGGACAGTGCTTTACAGTAATGAGATGCTTTCACTCACAGTATCTCATATAATCCTCACAGCTGAGCTAAGAGGTAAATGTTGTGTTTGTTACTTGCATTGTGCTAAACCCTCTAGAGACTAAGAGATGGACTGACATGGTAGCAAATGGCCAGAATTGCCTAAGGCACTTGACTGCTAACCAGAAGGCTGGCAGTTCAAAGCCACCAGGCACTCCTCGGAAGGAAGATGGGGCAATCTACTTCTGAAGTGATACTGCCTCAGAAACCCAAGGAGGGGTCGCTGTGAGTCGGGTCCGACTCGACGGCACATGACAACAACCACAACAGCACATTTCCTGACTACACGTGGGTGATCCTGTGCCACACTGTAGCTTTAACCCTTTTTATAGAAACCCTTCTAGAAGGTACCTGTGACTCTTTGATGTCTTGACCAGTGAGTTAGAATCCCCATGAACATCATCAATTACTGTTGTATCTTACCACGTGGCCCCTGGAGAGCTAAGGAGACCTGCAGGACCACTTGCTACTGTGTCAGGCTCATGCATGGGCCCAGAGGCTGGAATGTTTGAGCAACTGTGTCTGTTTTTGATGTTTTAAATTAACTCTTAAATAGCCAGGGATCTCCCATGCCATTTTCTCTTTAATTTGCTGCAAGCTGTAGAGTTAGAGACCACACACATTCAATAGAAAAACATGTGCCCTAAGCTCCGGGTGAAGATCGGGGATTCCCAGTAAAGTATGTGCAGCATCTGTGTCTTCGTGGCTCCTGGCATCCAGTTTGACTGCTCAGAAACCATTCCGGGGCTGGAGGACTAGTTCCTGGTTCTTTGCTGGAATCCAGGTACTTGATTTTGTTAGAGAAGTGAGCTATGGATACATTGTTGTTTTTTAGAAAAGTAGATTTGGGGCTTACTTTACCTTCTGGTGGCATAGTGGTTAAAACATTAGATTGCTAATGAGAAGGTTCAAACTCACCAGCCGTTCTGTGGGAGAAAGATGAGGCAGTCAGCTTCTGTAAAGACTGACAGCCTTAGAAACCCTTGGGGCAGTTCTTGTCTATCCTCTAGTGTCGCTGTGAGTTGGAACTGACTCCCCAGCCAGGGGGGTTTGGTTTGGGCTTTGCTTCCATAAAGATTGACAGCCTTGGAAACCCTATGGGGCAGTTCCAGTCTGCCTTGAAGGATCCCTATGAGTCAGAATCGACTTGATGGCAGTGGGTTTGGTTTTTGGTTTTAAGACCAATGGGTGGATACTCCATGGTTTTGCCCCGACACGATATACAAGGTCTTGGTTCATTTTGTGTAACCAATTACTCGGTATTTATTGGATGCCTTTCCGGTGCCAGGACCAGTTGCTGTCGAGTTGGTTTTGACCCGTGGTTGGCAACCCCAAGGTGTTTCAGTAGAACTGTGTCCTTGGAGTTTCGAGCGGCTAATTTTTCAGAAGTAGATCACCAGGCCTTTCTTCTGAGGCATCTCTGGGGGAACTCAGATCTCTAGCCTTTCAGTTAATAGGTGAGAGCAAATTTGCAGCCCTCTGCACAGTGTATGCAAATAAGAAGCAATGACTGATCTCACCCTGGAGGACCTCACATGTCATCTCTTCCTGTGTTGCCAGCCCTGCGTTCTGTGCTCACACAGCCATGCGTCTTCCGTTTCAGCTTATCAGCGATGGCAGTGTGGTCTGCGCAGAAGCCCTGTGGGACCATGTGACCATGGATGACCAGGAGCTGGGCTTCAAGGCTGGGGATGTCATCCAGGTCCTGGAGGCCTCCAATAAGGACTGGTGGTGGGGCCGGAATGAAGACAAGGAAGCCTGGTTCCCTGCAAGCTTTGTCCGGGTGAGTGGGGGGCTTGCACCACTGTCCAGGGTACCAGTGGGGAGCTGGTGACTTGTGGGAGGCTGTTCTCACTCTTGACTCAGACTGAAGTCTACCATAATGGTTTTCAGTCCTACACTCAAGTCAAACCTATGTAAGATGATCTCAGAGCATCAAGGGACTAGATGGGGTTGGAGTAAAATAACTAACTAAGGTAAACTATCTGTTGGCTTTTACTGCTGTGTTCCTTGTGTTGGCTGGCACTGCCATGGGCCGCTAAGGACACAGGTAGGCAGTGGCTCTCCAGACCATGGGCAAGGCTGCCTTCTTGCGAGGCTCAGCCCTGTACACAGTTCACCCCTGTGTCAGCCGCCCACTTTGTTGCCCACAGTTGCGAGTCAACCAGGAGGAGCTGTTGGAGAACTCCACCAGCACCCAGGATGAGGAACAGGATGAGGGTGCTGGCCACACGCATCTCAAACACACGGAGAACAAGCACCAGATGAGGACAAACGTGATCCAGGAGATCATGAACACAGAGCGGGTGTACATCAAGCATCTCAAGGACATCTGTGAGGTGAGGTGCCAGGCCATTAGACCACTCAGGGTTATGCAGTGTGACTGTGTGTTCCTCTCCACCTCCATCCCCAATTAGATTATAAACCCTCCGAAGGCAGGGACTGAGCTGTCCTCATATTTATGTATTTGCCTACACTCCTCAGTTCTTCTCGCCTCCACTCATGCCCATCCAGTCCTTGCACAGACCACCCACCCAGCTCATTAAACATTTGTGTCCATCTGTGGAAGCGTTGGTGGCTTAGTAGTAGATTCTCACCTCTTGTGAGAGAGAACTGGGCTCACTTTCCGGCCAGTGAGCACATCCATCACTGGCTGTAGTGGAGGCTTGCAGGTTGCTATGGTGTTGAACAGGTTTCACTGATGCGTCCAAACTAACACAGACTAGAAGAAAAGCCTGGCCATCCAGCTCTGACAGTCGACCAGTGAGACCTGATAGATAGAATGAACGGTCTGATCCACAGCCGATCATGGGCATTGCACTGGCCAGGCGTTTCGTTCCACGGTATGTGGGGTGGCTAAGAGCAGCAACGTCTGCCAGTGACCGTAAAAGGCTGTCTCACCTGTTGCTGTAGCCGGCCCCCTTTAAGGGTGCCCCACAATGATCCCATTCAGGTCCCCGCTTAACCTGTGATAACTCACAGGGAACGAATGACCTGTGATAGTTCACAGTTGCACAGAAGGCAACCCCTTTTTGCTGAACGTTTGGGAAACCCACCTGACTTGACAATGGTCCATCAGTAGCTACAGCCCCACCACATCTAATGCTTTGACTCACAGACACAGATCTGAGTCACTGCGGTCAGTATTGAGATACGGATGGAACACTTGGGTTTACCTGGTGATGTCAAGGCTGTACTCTATAATAAGTATTGTGTCAAATCTTGTTCTCTTGATTGCAAGCAGTTGGCCATTAGTAAGAGTATATACAGTAAGGCTTTGCCTCCCGTGATATGCTCCTTTCTGTGGACTGTGTGCAAGCATTACACTGAACTGTTGCTCGGCCAGTCTCAGCACCCATCCGTCTTCACTGTGGATGCTCATCATGGCAGTGGCATCCGACCAGGACAGTTCAGCACTGAAGATAAATCTCAATGAGAGAACTGGCCGTTCTGTAATGAGATAAGCTGACCCGATGGACGCTCCAGTGTTCAGCATATTTGTGCTAACCACACTATTCTTTGTGAATATATGATTAAGAAATTGCTTTAAGGCATCATTTGAGGAGACTAATCCTAACTGCTAGTAACTCAACATAGTAGAGCACTGACTGCGTGCCATCCCATTATGTGGATTCACTCATCATATGCTCACAACCCGCCACTCATCTGTCAGCGTGTTCTGCTGTGGCGGCCTGCGTGTTGCTGTGATGCTGGAAGCTATGCATTCCGCCAGTATTTCCAACACCAGCAGGGTCATCCAAGGTGGACAGGTTTCAGTGGAGCTTCTAGACTGAGACAAGGAAGAAAGGCCTGGCAATCTACTTCCAAAAATCAGTCAATGAAAACTCCACGAAGATGACAACAGAATAGTGTCAAGTATTGCGCTGGGAGAGGACTCCGAGGCTGGAAGCAACAGTGACTCAGTGTGCTGGCGATCTTGAGGATGGGCTGGGTCCAGGCAGTGTTTCGTTCTGTTGGCCCTGGGTCCCCATGAGTCACAACTGACTCAGCAAGCAACTAAAAGCAGCAACAACAGCAGTGCGCACAGCACTTGCTGAGGCAGGGCCTGTTGTTTCCCATAGTGGGATTTAAACCCAGAGTGTGCTGCGGACTCGGTCATTAAGCCATTGCATTGTATCATCTTTCGGTTCAAACACGTTACAGATAGTCCACGGGATGTTTTACAAAGGAGTCAGTTTAGTGTATTTCACTACCTGATGCTAATCTGAAGACATTATTACCTCTGTATATGGCTTTTCATCCCTGCACCACTAATTTCTACCCAAGCCATAGTACAACCGCGTGGTTATATGGTGATGGTGAATGAGGAGTGCTGATAAAGGTCTGTGGATTTGTGCTGTCCGTAGAAGGGGAGTAGGTCAGGGTGAAATCCTGGGGTAAGATGTTCTTGGCCCTTTGCCATGATAAAGAGGGACAAGAGATGACGGTGTGAATTTGACAGACTTTCTCAGCTGTGAAATGAAATTAGGGATGGGAGAATGATTATCTTAAAAGTTGAGAAAAAGTGTGACCGTAGGGTTCTTTTGTTTTTGTTTTTAATTTTTATTGTAATTTGGGTGAAAGTTTACAGAGCAAGCTCATTTTCCATACATTATTCATACACATTTTATCTTATGACATTGACTGCACTTCCCCACAAGGGAACAGCTCTCTTCCCACTTCCTCCCTTTAGTTACCTCTTGCCTGTGACTTTCCTGTTCCTGCCTCCTGAGCCATCTCCCTGTGCAAATACTGCCCTTCTGTTGTCCTGATTGATTGTTCTAAGGAGTGTATCTGCGTCAGCGCCACCTGTGTTCACCTATGCCTGTCTGTTGTTTGGATGGAAACCACAGGAATGAGTTTAATTCCAGACCTGTAGGGTTACTAGGGGTCGTATTCTCAGGGGTCTCACCAGGCTCTAACAGACCAGTAAACCTGGTCATTTTTATGATTTTGAGTTTTGTTCTACGTTGTTCTCCCACTCTGTCCAGGACCTCTATTATGATCCCTTTCCGAGTGGTTGGCAGTGATAGCCAGGCACCATCTACTTCTTCTGGCCTTAAGAGTCATGTAGGCTGAGGTTCACATGTTCTTCTAGTCCCTTGGGCTAATTGTTTCCATGTATCTTTGGTTTTCTTCACTGTTCTTTGCTCTGGATGAGAAGAGACCCATTGTTGCATCTGGATGGCTGCTTGCAAGCTTTTAAGACTGTTGTCGCTGTTCACCAAAGTCGGAGGTAGAACAGTGTTTTGAATAGTATGTTACATCCTGTGACCATGGTCCCAGGTCCACAGGTCCAACAGCTTACTCCATCAGGGTGTTTGACTGCACATACAAATACAAATGTAGAAATACCTTCTGCCAACCTTATATATGGTCATGGGTATATTCCCTTTTGCCTACCCATACCTGATCATTGAGCCTATCTACTCATATATTTACCCATAGATTTGTATTTGTTGTTACTGATAACACAGTAGAGGTTTTCTTTTTTTTTTTTTCTATCTGGCATTTGAAACTAAGCAACTTGTTTCATGACTTTAATCTGGAAACATTACATGGTCTTTTGAACAATAAATAATACCTCCACACAGAACTTTGCTCTTTCATTTTGCTTTTGAGACATTTACGGCAGACTGTAGTTGTGGACACGTAACTGCCCTACCAGTGACTGTAGATAGTTCTTCCTCAATTAGAATCCACTTCAAGACCATGGCTTTGGGTCCAGTTAACTGTGCTGTTCAAATAAAGGATTTCCTTTTGAATTCTCAGATTAATAAATGAGGTTGGCATCTTTTTCTACAGGGCTACATTCGCCAGTGTCGTAAGCACACAGGGATGTTCACTGCTGCGCAGCTAGCCACTATTTTTGGGAACATTGAAGATATTTACAAGTTCCAAAGAAAGTTCCTGAAAGACCTTGAGAAACAGTACAATAAAGAGGAACCTCACTTAAGTGAAATAGGGTCCTGCTTTCTTCAACACGTAAGTCACCTGTTATGTTTCCATTAATGGCATCCAGTTAAATAATGCCTTTGAAACGTTCCTCCACTAAAAACGGGAGTCATTTGTTTATTTGCTGGATTAATTTTCCATAGGATGGGGAGATCACTCATGAGAAATAATTTGACTAGTTTATGTAGTTACTCTTTACCTAGTTAAATACTGCAAGTACTTTTTTTTTTTCCCAACATGATACACTTTTATATAGTTTAGAGTTTGGGGCATTGTATTTGGAGTAGTTTCTAACAATACTTAATTGTTTGTCATGCATTAGACTCTATTTTAAGAGTCTTCTTACGTTAGCTCCTGTACTGCAAGCCAGGTAGATGTCATGTTTATACCCATTTGACGGATAAGGAAACTGAGGGCCAGGAGGTAACTGACCTAGGCTCCCACACAGGTAAGTGGAAGACCTGAGTTCAAACGTAGGCTGTGGTGTGACTCTGGGACCCATGCTTATGACTAACATAACTACTACGGAACCTGGAGGGTGGAACCGTTGTGCTAAAACATTTCAGAGGAAGAAGATTCTTTTTGTAGCCCCAGTGGTCAAGGAGTAGTAATAACAGTATAACAATGTGCTGGGCCCACTAGCTGTACAGAGCTGGCCCTCTGGTGTGGGTAGATGTTTAAATCAAGGTTTGGGTTGGTAACACAAGTGGTAAGACTGGCCTCATAAATGCATTGGGAATTGGGGGCATTATTAATAGATATATGCAACACCCATCTTCATCGCAGCACTATTCACAATAGTAAAGAGATGGAAACAACCTAAATGCCCATCAGCCAAGGAATGGATAAACAAACTGTTTGTACATGCATCCAGTGGAATACTACGCAACCTTAAAAAATAATGTAGATTCTACAAAACACCACATAAAGTGGATGAACTTGGAGAACATTATGCTGAGTGAAATAAGTCAATCACAGAAGGACAAATATTGTATTAGTCCAAGTCTACTATTGTAAAAAGTCAAGGGGGGTTTATACATGGAAGAAAACTTTTCTTTGTTGTTTACCAAGGATGGGAGGAAAGGGGAGTGAAAATTCCTGGATAGGTTGAAAAAAAAAAAGGATATGTATATAAACCAAAGATTATTAGTGGTTAGCAGGGGTAGGAGGGAGGGGGAAGGGGGAAACTTTTGTTTGCAGGGTATTGAGTCTATGCTAATGGTGATGGAGTATTTTGGAAAAGGATAGCAATAATGGTGGTACAACATGAAAAATGTAATCAATGTCCCTGAGCTGTAAATGTGGAAGTTGTTACTCTGGCGAATGTCTTGTTGTATATGTTTTCACCACAGCAAAAGTAAAAGAAAAAAAAAAAAACTAAACTAAAGAATGGTGGGGGCATTGTTAAAAGACCTGGCCAGAGTAGAAGGTCCATGTATGAGAAAAATGAGAAGAGTTTCCAGGTGACGTGCCGTCAGGCTAGAGAGCCGGGTGGTCAGGTGTTACAAGAGAAGTCTTAGGAAGGTAGCCCTTGCTGTGGAGAACACGAGAGTTTGGATTAAGAGATAGAGGTCATTAGGGAGAGAGATGAAGTGGGTCTCAGGTCAGAAAAGATAAAGGGAAGGGGGAGGGATTTGTTGAAATGGGTAGTTTTCAAGAAAAGCTGACAGGATTGGGCATCGAGATAAAGACGCATCCATCAAAGCTGCCTCTGGGGTTTTGAGTCTCCGAGAATTCACAGAGGGGCTAGGAAAATATGTGTTCTATGGAGCTGGGAAGTTGGCTTGAGGCATGTTGGTTCTGAACACATCCAAGTAGAAAATGTGGAGCAAAAAAAGAACCTCGCTGCCATCAAGTCCATTCTGACTTATAGCAAACCCCATTGGGTTCCCAAAGGTCTAAATCTTTACAGAAGTAGATTGCCCCATCTTCCTTCTGTGGAGTAGCTGGTGGATTTGAATTGCTGACCTTCTGGTTAGCAGCCAAATCCCTTCTCCACCATGCCACCAGAGCTCCATAAACTGTCAAGCAGGACAGACCAAGAAAGGACTGGCAACTCTGATGGGGTAAAAAACCAGTTGCCATCGCAGTGACTCCAACTCCTGGGATCCCACGTGTCACAGCAGAACTGTGCTCCCTCCGTAGGGTTTTCAGTGGCTGTGATTTTTCAGCAATCACCAGGCCTTTCTTCCAAGGCACCTCTGGGTAGGCTCGAACCCCGAACGTTTCTGTTAGCAGCAAGCAAGCACATTAACTGTGTGCACCTCCCAGGGACCCCTGGGTAGGGGTAGCCACTGGTGCGTCAGCAGTACAGAGCCTGGTGGGTGCAGAGGTCCCAGCGCTGTGCCTGAACGCCAGCAGCCTGTGGCCCCTAGGGAGGGCGTGGGACAGTGTCCCCTGACCCAGGGGAAGAGCTGTTGCCCGGACTGAGGTGGTCAGTGGGAGATTGGAGGTGGGTCAGTGCCGTGAGAGTGGAGCTGGGCTGACGTAGGAAGCCCACCTGCAGGGCACTGAAAGGCCTATGAGCAGGGGGAGGCAGTGAGTCCAGACCTCCCAGTCACGGGCCAAAGTTAGGCAGTGAGCATGAAAAAGAGGGAGCTTGTCAAGCTGAGGATCAGCACCCCATCTCCTGTGCTGTTTCAGTGTTTGAGCAGAGCTGGATGGCGGACGACGCTCGGGTCCCTGTGACATACCCTTTCAGGTCTGCAAAGGCAGGTGTGTGGGGGACCTCTGCTCCACTGCCTCCTGGACAAGCTGTTTAGGTCCTCACCCTCCTTGAGGTGACCTGGAAGCGCCCCTCCCTCAGAGATGTGGACTGCTGTTTACTCGGCCTGACTGGGCTTGCCGTGGGCTGCTGTGCCTGATCCCGTGGCTCTGATGCCTCTCTCTCCCTTCCCTGGGATGTCCCTTCATGTGGGGCTGGCGTGCCCTTGCCGTGACCCCCAGCCCCACATGCCCTGATGGCTCTCTGCTTTCCTTTCCCAGCAAGAGGGCTTTGCCATCTACTCCGAGTATTGTAACAACCACCCTGGCGCCTGCCTGGAGCTGGCCAGCCTCATGAAGCAGGGCAAGTACCGACACTTCTTTGAGGCCTGCCGCCTGCTTCAGCAGATGATCGACATTGCCATCGACGGCTTTCTGCTCACACCCGTGCAAAAGATCTGCAAGTACCCTCTGCAGCTGGCCGAGCTGCTCAAGTACACCACGCAGGAGCACAGGTGAGGCTGGGGCCCCCCAGAAACTGTCCAGGCCGGCTCAGGCTTCTCCGCAGAGGGGGAGACTGCAGGGGGCGCTCTGCTCCTCCAGGCTTTCACGTAGGAGTGACACGTGGACTGAAACTTCACTCAGAACAGTTTTAGTTAGTGTGGCACCACGGCGAATTGCTTAGCTGCTAACTGAACCATCTGAGGTTCGAACACACTGGCCACTGCATGGGAGAAAGACCTGGTGAGGTCTGCTCCCTTAAAGATATCAGCCGAGGGGGAACCCTGTCGGGCAGAACTACCCAGTCATACACAGTCACTCTGAGTTGAAAACGGGTTTGAAGGCACCTCACGCCAACAGTGATGGAGGATTTTGTAAATCGATTAGAGTAGCTCAGATAGTTAACTATTGAAACCAGGGAAGAGGAGAGGCTGTAGAATATTCCTTCCTAGAAATACTCAAAAGAATTCATCCACTGTGTCGCGAGTGCCTGGGATTTCAATTGTATTGTTAGCCCGTACAGTTTGCATGCATTTTGTTGTAATTAGTCCTCTGTAGCTACTAAATATTTGATACAAACAATTTTTAAAAGGAATAGACCAGTCTGAATACAATTTCAGAAATAGATTCTTTCAATAATATTCCTTGATTACTCTTGGTATAAGTTGTTTTCATGGGCCTGTCACAGAAAATTACTTTGATGAAGGGATGGGTTATCCAAAAGTTTGAGCTATAAAAAGAGGATAGGTTGCCAGGGTACAGAGTAGGACACAGCCTTGGAGATGCAGCTCGCCGAGACCCTCCCAGGCCTGCACCTGGTCATGCCCGCCAGGACTTGCTCTCCGTGAGCCTTTTTTACCACGATTACCAGAGTGTTCCACCTTGCTTTGGGGCTTCCTTTCCACCTAACTAAACTCTTCTCATTACCCAGGGCACCTCTGATTCTTGATTCTCAGCTTCTCTTGAAACAAACAAACAAAACGTGCTTTTTTTCTTCAACTGTCCAGCTCTTTGATTTCTGTATTCTTTTTGGGCTCTTGTTCCTCCACAGTTTGGCCCCTTGTTGGGAAACCAGAAGTGTTATCCCTTGTTCACTTCCTAGCGACTCATCCTTCTGTGTCTACAGAAGGCTTGCTGTGTGTGTACCTAAGCTGTCACTCAGCTGGAATGATGTTGGGGAGGGTCAGCACAGCAGGACACAGTGGTTGGTGCCCCGAGGCTGTCACGGAAGTGTGACTGCTTGTGTTCTCGAGGGCCACACGGAGTGCCAGTGGGGCATGGGCTACTGAGCACCTCCTGGTGCCAGGCTCTGGCCAACCCATGGGGAAACTTACTGTTTTAGGTGACAACCAAACCAACCACATCATACCATTGCCACCACGCTGTAAGTACCTACAACTCTCTCTCTCTCTTTTTTTTTTTTTTTCCTTTTAATTGTGATTTGAGTGAAGCTTTATAGAGCAAATTCATTTTCCATACAACAGTTCATACATGTTCTATTTCTTGACAGTGACTGCAATCCCCATAATGTAACAGCTTTCTTCTCACTTCCTCCTTGTGGTTACCTTTTCCCTGTGTATTCCTGTCCTCAGAGCTGTCTCCCTGTGCAGGTACTGACCTTTTGATCTCCCGTGGTTGATTGTTCTAAGGAGTCCACCTACCTGGTATAAATGTGATTGTGAGTTTTGTTCCACATTGTTCTCCTGCTCTATCCGGGATCTCCTGCACTGATCCCTTTCTGAGTGGTTGATGATGGTAATAGGGCACTATCTAGTTCTTCTAGTCTTAGAGTCATGTAGGCTGAGGTTCACGTGGTCCACTAGTCCTTTGGACTAACTGTTCCCGTAAGTCTTTGGATTTCTTCATTCTTCTTTGCTCTGGATGAGGAGAGGCCCACCATTGCATCTAGATGGCCGCTTGCAAGCTTTTAAGATCCCAGTCACTACTCACCAAAGTAGGATGTAGAACAGTGTTTTTGTGTAATATATTTTGCCAGTTGAGTTTGGTGTCCCCCTGCGACCACAGTCCTGAGCCCATGGGCCCAATGACTCATTCCCTTGGGGTGTTTGCCTGTGGCTAAGAAGTTATCACAGCTTTGCCCCATTAGCTCTATTATGTATGTGTGTATGTGTCTGTGTATACATGTATGTGTGTGTGTATACACACACACACACACACCTACCTACAAGTCTTGAAAGATGAATCTTGAAGGTTCTAGTGAAGAGATGGAAAGGGGTAAGATTGTGCCTGGCAGGAGTTTCTACATCAGACTATAGCAGTTCTGGGTTTCACCAACTAAATGTTGCCGCAAGCCAAAAACCAAGCCTACTGCCATCAGGTGACTAATAGCAGCCCTGTAGGACAGAGTAGAACTGCCCCAGATGGTTTCCAAGGCTATCATCTTTACGGGAACAGACTGCCACATGCTCCTCCTGTGGAGCGGCCAGTGGGTTCAAACTAGCACCCTTCTGGTTAGCAGCTGAGCTCTTAACCACTGCGCCACCACAGCTCCTTTAAATGTTGCCATGAGAGCAACCAAATGAACCATGGTGGTGGTTAGTACTTCAGGGTGTGAGAGAATGGACCATTCTTTGTCCCCTCTGCTGCTGAACCCCTGTGGAGAGCAGTGACAAGGGACCTTTGAACAATTAGATTTGAAAGTAGACAGGAAAAAAGAGAAAGGTCAGCAAACAAACAGCAGGCCCTGATGTGGGTGTTTAAAGAATAGAACTGAAGTAGCAGGAGGAGCTCGGTGACAAAGATAAAAAGGCAGGAGAGCGCTTGCTCACTTTGCTCGCTCTCCCTCCCTGTCTCCCTCTGTCTCTCTCTCCCTCTCTCCCTCTGTCCCTCTCTTTCCCTCTCTCCCTAGCTCCCCCTTCCCATATATACATATATGTACAGGATTACTGCTTTACCTGACCCCAAGTGACTCAAGCTGAGCAAGACTTGGATGTAAACCTTCATCTATTGGCCATGCTCTGGCCTGGCCTGAGTGTCAGTTAGAATTTTTCTACTGTGTTAGGAGACTGAGGAACAAGAATCTTTATATATGTACATATATATATATATATTGTTTTGTTTTGTTTTTAAAGAGAAAGACCATGTGCTCTGGTGGCACAGTGGGTAAGGCATTTGGCTTCTAACCAGAAGGTCAGTGGTTCATACCTACCAACTGCTTCATGGGAGGAAGATGAGGCTGTCTGCTCCCTAAAGATTTACCAACTTGGAAACCCTAGGGGGTCATTATGAATCAGAATTGACTCAATGGCAGTGGCTTTGGCTTGGTTTTTATATATGTGCGTGTGCATGTGTGTGTGTGTAAACCAAACCCACTGCCATCAAGTCAATTCCTACTCATAGTGACCCCCATTGAGTTCCCAAGGTAGTAAATCTTTTACAGAAGGATACTTCCCCATCTTCCTTCCACAGAGTGGCTGGTGGGTTTGAACCACCAACCTTCTGGTTAGCAGTCAGATGCCTTGGGCACTGTGCCACCAGAGCTTCTCCTGCTCCCTCTCCTTCTCCCTCTTCCTCTCCCCTCTGCCTCCCCTTCCCCCTCGACTTTCTATACTTACACATATGTATAACTTTGGGATGAAAACATCAGAAAAGTTTTGGAAAAATAGCAAAACCAAGAGAGCCATACACTTGAAGAAATTTACAAAAACAAAGAATAAAAGGATAAGGAGCCAGAGAAAATAATCAAGAGAATTGTTTGTACAAATTACTTATAAAAGCGAAGACATCTTGAAAGACAAAGGCAGGCAGGCCATTTACTAAATTCCAAGGCAAAAAAACTGTACAAGGAAGTCCACACATCATAGGTAAAAAGATGTTTAAAGGATACTTCTCACTAGGACCTTTTAGCTTTAACGAACATTGTAGCTTGTATCTGTTTTTTAAAAAAACTATTTTACAGGAAATGCCAAAAAGCCCAAGTTCTTGTCTTAAATAAGACAAAGGCATTACACACTGCCTCTTTTCTGGAATCGCACAGAAAAACTTGTTGGACAAAAACATCATCTTGCACCCTTGCTTCATCGTGGGAGGCCTTTGCGGGGGGTGTTGGTACCGGCATGTTTTGGCAGCCCCTCAGCCTTTTTGTCCTCGCTCTCGCTCTGCTCCTGAGTGTGAACGGGACCTCAGCTCCTGCTGGAAGCCCTGTCTTTCCAGCAACTTCTGCCTTGTGTGGAAAGAAAGGCCCAGGGAGGTACATGGATGGGAGTGTGACTGTGCTTGGTAGATAGACAATAGAATCTGCTTCCGTGGCTTTTTTCATGGCTGTGCAGGGATTCTCATTCAGTCCAGCTGAGATCCAGTGACTCCGCCTGGCACCACAGGAAAGTGCTGGAAAGTAAAAAATCTTCAGCCAGCTGGGTGATTGCTTTATGTGACCCCAAGTGACTCCCACTGAGCGAGACTTGAATGTAAGCCTTCTCCTGTTGGGCACGCTCTGGCCTGGCCTGCGTGTCAGTCACAGTCTATCTATAGTATAAGGCTGAGGAACAAGAGCCTGTTGGGGGAGCCATTTTTGGTTGATTTGTCTGTGGTTTAGGGAAAGCCCCAGAAATGAAGATCTGTCGGTGAGGAAATAACCATATGCCGTTTCCATGACCAAGCACTTCCAACTTCTGTGTCCTCTCGTGACCTCTCCCAAGTACCACAGATAAGAGGACCAAGAGTCAGTCGTTACTCTTGACCGTAGCTAGTGATCTTTAAAAAGTTCTTGACGTAGCAGCACTGGTTGTTTCAGAATCAAAACAATCATAAAAATGGTTCTTTATTAATGAAAATCATCCTTTGTTCCTGTGGCATTTTACTTTCATTCACTGTGATTTCTGGGAAGTGAATGAGAGCATTCTTAGTCCACAGAGCTCGGAATTGCGTTTGGTCAGCTCTCTTAACCTATGAAGACTGTAGTCTATTCATAGGGGAACAACAGCGAGGAAACAAGGGCCGCAACTTAATTGCCACTTGGTCTAGACTCTCTGTGTACAGGTCCTGGCTCGAGAACCTCACACTGCCATTCCTCACTCGCAAGTTTCATGACGTGATGAAAATGAACCTCCTCTTTTGCAGTGATTACAACAATATCAAGGCTGCCTATGAGGCCATGAAGAACGTTGCCTGTTTGATCAACGAGCGGAAACGCAAGCTGGAAAGTATAGACAAGATCGCCCGGTGGCAGGTGTCCATTGTGGGCTGGGAGGTGCGTGTGAGCCCCCTTTCCTGACCCTCCCTCTCACCCCGTCTCTGCTCACTCCCGCCTCAGTCTCCGAGTTAGCCTAATCTACACACCTCCGTGTTCTGTGATTGATGCTTTAAGTGCTTGGCTGCTGAGGTATAAAGATTTTAAGGTGTATTACTGAATGCAGTCTGAAGAATGTGTGTAATTAATTTCCTGTTTATCTGAGAACAAGTAGAGAACATTGAGGACGCAGGAATATGTAGAGAGGTTATGAGGACTGCCCCTGGAGTCCAGTTGCTTACGTATGAATCCCACTTGATCCAAGCAGGAGGAGTCTTTTAGTCCATAAGATGGGGAGGAAAATGTTGCCTACCTCAAAGAGGATTATGTAAGATGATACAAACACAATACTTGTTACAACGATGTGGGGTAGAAAAGATAAACACACATATGTATATGTGTTTGTGTATGTATATGTATATATACACAAACCAAACTCACTGCCATCAAGTTGATTCTGACTCATAGCAACCCCCATTGGGTTTCTGAGGCTGTAAATCTTTACAGAAGTAGATCATCCCATCTTCCTTTGGCAGAGTGGCTGGTTTGAACCACTGACCTTTTGGTTAGCAGCCAAATGCCTTATCAACTACGCCACCAGAGGTCCTTACATATATACACAGATGTATGTATGTATATACATATATATACTGTGCTTGCGTATTTGTGCACATTTTGTTTATTAAAGCAACAATAACACTGGATAGCACTGTGTTTACCACGTATCTGACACTGGCCTAAGCCCTTTACATACATGAATTCCTCTCCATCCTCTGAGCAGCCCTATGAAGCAGGCCCTGTTACAACCCCCATTTTACAGATGGGGTCACTCAGGCACGGAAAAGGTAAGTCACTGGCCCAAAGCCACACAGCTAGGAAGTGACAGAGCCAGATTCAAACCACAAGAGTCTGTCTTTAGAGATAACCACCCAGCTCTCCCACTGGCATTAACAACAGTAAACCGGCAGCTTGAAGGCCTGTTCTCAGGTCTAGCCAGGCTCATCCCACCTTAGGTGATTGGTTGCTTTGACCCTGTGGGACTTTCCCAGAGGGCTGGGATCATCGGGATCCAGGCGGGGTTGCATTTTTGCCTAAAGTCAGTGGTAGTGGTGAGAGTGGGAAAGATTCCAGGGCCTCGTGGACTCCTGGAGCTGGGTGGGACCTCACAGATCACCAGGTCTAACTCCTCATGCTGTGAGGAGTCTCGGGCATAGGCGTGCTTTAGGCGAGTCAGCAGAAGTACCATTGGGGAGTAAAGCCTTTTGCCTCCAGAAGATACCGTCCGTGACTGGGACTAAAGGAGGATAAAGTCGTAACAGAGCACTGGCCTGTTTCATAACAAACATATAAGGTTCCATTGAACTAGAGCCAACCTAAATTTTTTTCTTTTTTTTGCTACGTATACATTTTGTTCTTTAATCTTTTTGGGGGAGGGAGTGAAAGTTCACTGAGCAAATTCATTTTCCATTCACCAGTTCATACACATTCTGTTTCATGACGTTGGCTATAATCCCCATAAGGTAACCGCTCTCTTCCCACTTCCTCCCTGTGACTATCTTTTCCCTGTGTCCTTTCCCATGCATTCCTGCCCTCTGAGCATTCTCCCTGTGCAGATGCTGCCCTTCTGACCTCCCACGGTGGACTGTGCTAAGGACTGTACTGACCTGGTGTAAATGCTCACCTTGTACACCTGTCTGTTGTTTGGCCAGAGGGCGTGGGAGTAAGTTCATTTCTAGGCCCACAACGTGACTCAAGGCCACAGTCTCGGGAGTAGCAACATAAATATTTTAAAGTATGATTTTTTTGCCCTGGTTTCGCAAGGAGAGGATAGTTTATTGTCAGAAGCTTTCCACTTTCTTGCTGGCCGTTTGCCATCTGGCCTTCTGTGTCCAAGACCCTCTGCTAGTCATCATTCCAGGGAACTGCTCCTTGCGTGACTCAGAGCAAAAGCGTGCTTAGTGCGAAAGCCTCACACGCGCAAAGCCTCTTCCCAGCTTCCATCTTCTCGAGGACTGGCCTGAGCTGCTCCATTTGAATCCTGACTGGATTCCATTAACCCAGCATGCTTTTCAGCAGAGCTTTCTTGACTAGAAGGAAGATGTCTCAGGTAACCTGGAGGATTAACCCCCACGTGGAGATTAGGAAAGCGAGGTGTGAAACGGCCTTTGAGGCCTGTCCAGCTGAGAACCAGGGGCAGGAGTGGAAGCACCTGGGGAGTCTGAGGAAGACTCTGTGTCCACAGGCCTCTCCCACGTCCTGGAAGCCCGGAGCGGCCAGCACTGGGGGGGCTGTCATGGGCTTTTGTCATTCCAGGGACTGGACATTCTGGACCGGAGCTCCGAGTTGATCCACTCTGGAGAGCTGACCAGGATCACAAAGCAGGGCAAGAGCCAGCAGCGGACCTTCTTCCTGTTCGACCACCAGCTGGTGTCCTGCAAAAAGGACCTGCTGCGCAGGGATATGCTGTACTACAGAGGCCGGACGGACATGGACGCCATGGCACCGGTGGACCTGCCGGACGGGCGGGACCGCGACTTCAACCTCACCGTGAAGAACGCCTTCAAGCTTGTCAGCCAGGTCACGGACGAGGTCCACTTGTTCTGTGCCAAGAAGCACGAGGACAAGGTGCGGTGGCTACAGGCATGTGCGGACGAGAGGCGGAGGGTGCAGGAAGACCAGGAGCTGGGTGAGTGGCGGCAGGCACGGCAGTGTTCGTGTCTTCCCTTTGCTCTGTAGCCTTAGTCTCCTGCCCCGCGTGCCAGCTTTCCCCCCAGATGCCCCCAAGTCAGGTCCTGCCACTGGGAAAGAAAAAGAGATGGCACTCTTTCCACTTGCTTGTCGGGCACACCGTGCTCAACATACTTCCTGCAGGTGACTTTTTTCTTGTTTATCTCATGCCATGTACTGTGGGTCACACTGACCTAGGTTGTCACATTTGATCTTTGAAAAAACCCTATGACATGGATACTAATTATTATGTTCAGTTTATAGGTGAGGAAAATAAAGCTTAAGGAAACATTCTACTTTTACACCAGGGCCAAATAGCACTGAGACCTAGGTCCGGGTGACCCCAGAGACTGAACCCCACTATGGTGGCTTTTGCCTGCCTAAGCCATTAGACATAGCAGATGAGTCTTTAGTACTATTATTATTTGTTGTTGTTGAAAGGATATACAACAAAACACACACCAGTTCAACAGTTTCTCCACGTACAGTTCAGTGACATTGATTCCAATCTTTAACTCATGCAACCATTCTCACGATCCATTTCCAAATTGTCCGTTCCCTTGGACACAGACTCACTGTCCCCTAAGCTTCCCTCTGACCTTTCAAGTTGCTGTTGTCAGTTCAGTCCCTTATAGCTCATTCTTCAAAAGAGCACGATGCTCAGGGCAGACATTCTCTTCTGAATAAGCTAATTGTTTGGTTAAAGAAGGCTCAGCGTGCGTTTAGTTTAAGGCTTAACGGTTACATCAGGGCAGCCATCTCTGGGATTCATCCAGCCTCAGTGGCTCCAGAAAATCTGGATTCTGTGAGAATTTGGAATTCTGTTTTACATCATCCCCCCTTTTGATCAGGATGTTGTGTGTCTTAAGTCTCCCACATCACCTGTACATTTGCTGTAGATTTTACTTTGCTGCCTGTGTTTAAGTTACAGTTGTTTGTCACCTTGGCTGGGCTGTGGGTTTGAGTGGCTGGGCACCTGGCTGTGGTTACTCCCCGTGATGAGATTGTAATCACTCCATGTTAGAATCTGCTGTGAGCACCTAAGTAGTTGCCTTCAGGTGTGACCTGCTTCCAGTATTGGAGAGGCTTTGAGGAAGGTCTCTAGCTTGTTGGCAGATTTTGGATTCTGTGTTTGGCTGAGGCTCCATCTCAGTGGCTGCCATGTTACCTGCCAGTTTTGAGATATTGTTCATGGACTTGAACCAGTGGTCTGCCCTGCTGCTTGCCTGTCTTGGGATCATGCCATTTTACTTATAGATCTTGGGTTCATCAGCCTCAGCAGCCAGCAGCTGCATGAGTCAGAAAAAGCCACAGGTCTAGTGGGCCTGGAACAGGAGGCAGAGTTGAAGCCCAAGGGGCCTTCAGCCCCAGAGGTAGGCACTTTGAACTCAGACTTCTAGCCTCCTCAACTGTAAGACAATAAATCCCTGTTTGTTAAAGCCATCCACTTGGGGTGTTTCTCTTACAGCAGCCCTGAGAACCAACACTGCCCAGGTGGAGTCAGACCCTGCAGCTCTCTGTGCGCCTCTCCTCGCCTCTCTCACCGTGAAGCTCGTCACCATGCATCAGTGTTAAAGTTAAGGCCATGTGTCAGCATTTGCCACTTTGAGGTGCTGTTCTGCCCAGCTGTTTCCGTCTTGCCAGCTTCTGCTGACCTCGTGATACTGCTTGGTCTAATGAGACCCTGTGGTAATTAAGATTGTATGTCAGCTTGGCTGGGCAGCTGGTGGTAGTTATTCCCCATGATGAGATTGGCAATCAGCTCCATGGTGGAATCTACTGGAGCAGCTGAGTAGCTGCTTTAGGGATGTGGGCTGCTTCCAGTAAGTAAGAAGCAACTTTGAGGAAGGTCTTTAGCTTATGGCATACTTGGACCCCGCATGTAGCTGAGTCTTCATTCAGCAGCCTCCCATGCTTTGCCAATCCTGGTATATTTAATGGACTTGAATCAGTGTCCTGCTGTGTGGTTTGATACTGTCAGGACTGTGCCTTTTCACTTGTTGACCTTGGGTTTGTCAGCCTCAGCAGCCAGCAGCTGCCTGAGTTAAGAAAAGCCTCCAGCTCCAGTGGGTTGAGAGCAAGAGGCAGAGCTGAAGCCCAAGGTCTTTGGGCTTTCATGAAGCCCCTAGAGCCTGGCACTTTGAACTTGGACTTCCAGCCTTCAAAACTGTAAGAGAATTAACTCCTGTTTGTTAAAGCCACCCATTTGTGGTATCTTCTGTAAGAGCAGCGCTAGGGAACCAAAACAGACCCCAACTCCTGTGCTTGGCAGCAGTGATGGCAGCACCCATGGCCTTAAGCTCAAGGTCCAGATGCTTCCCAAGCTCTTTAGGGTCTTGGGCCCGAAGTGTTAAATGGAAGCCAGGATGCCACAGGCCTCCATGGGTGTTAAAGCCAAGGTGGAGTGAAGGATAATCCTCCTTCCAGTCCAGGTGAGCTCAGACCTCAGTGTTATGCTGCACTTCCAGGGCTGTGGAGTCTGAACTGAGGGAGTGTGGAGTAAAATAGGACCCAGACCCCTGTCCTGTGATACATGTCATTCCTGGCAGCACGGTACATTATGTGTGGGCAGTAAGGGAGGGAGCACTGCTAACCAGGAGAGTGAGAGCCGGGCCCCAACTGGGGATGGAGTTAAAAGAGTGGAGTGGGCCAAATAGGAGGTCCTGGATAGCGTGGGAGAACAATGTGGAATACAACTGAAAATCATAAAAAAGACCAGGCTTCCTGGTCTGATAGAGACTGGTGAAACCCGTGACACTCTGGTCCCTGGTCACCCTTCCAGCGTGGGATTGAACTCACTCCTGTGGCTTCCAGCCAAAGACTGTTGTTGTTGTTATGTGCCGTCAAGTCGCCCCCCGACTCACAGCGACCCCTCCTTGGGTTTCTGAGGCAGTGTCACTACGGAAGTAGATTGCCCAACTTTCCTTCCAAGGAGTGGCTGGTGGGTTTGAACCGCCAGCCTTCTGGTTAGCAGTCAAGTGCCTTAGGCACTACGCTACCAGAGCTCCTAGCCAAAGACTAGACAGGCATATAAGTGAACATTTACACCAGGTAGGTACACTCCTTCAAGCAATCACCATGGGAGATCAGAAAGGCAGCATTGTACAGGGAGAAAGCGCAGATGGCACAAATGCATAACAAAGAAGGACATAGGGAGGAAGTGGGGTTGGTGATCAATGTCATGGAACAAAACGTATATGAACTGTTGTGTGGAAAATGAATTTGCTCTGTAAACTTTCATCCAAATCACAATTAAAAAAAAAAAAAGAAAAGAGTAGTGTGGGCTGAGGAGGCAAGAGGAGTGCAAGAACCAGTGTGGGACACCTGGAGGAGATGCCAGGAGCTAGGCTGTGTCGGGACACCACGGCCCCAGGAAAACAGGCTCCCCACGTGCATTAGACTAGAACTGTGCTCCACAGGGTTTCCAGCGCTGGTTTTCAGTTGAGCACCAGGACTTTCTTCTGAGGTCCCGTGGGTGGACTTGAACCTCCAGCCTTTTGGGTAGCAGCCAATTGTGTTGACCACTTGCACCACCCAGGGGCACCAGGCATAACACACCAATGCCCAGCTCCCCATCACCTCAGCTGGTACTGCCTTCCACAGGAAGTCTCTCTGAGAACACAGGCTGTTCCTCTCCGCATCCTTGCTTGGCCTTGTGTCATTAACTGTTGGGTTGGGGCTCATTTCGTCTCTAGATCGGCCTGTGTCATTCATTTCCATCCATTTTGCCCACTGTGTGCAGACACAGCCACTCTCTTGCAGACCCTGTCAGTGTGGGGACATTAAAGGCACACACCAGACACTGTGAGGACACATGAGATCCAGTCCTGCTACTTCGCACCTTCCTTCAGGATAAAATCACAGAGTCACACAGCTGTCATGGCAGGGAGGTGCACCCTGTGACCTGTCCACTCCTCTAGGGCCTTGTTCTTTAGGATTATGATAAGGATAACCCTCTGTGAGCATCTACCCAGGAACGTCTGGGCCTGTGCTGGTACACCATGAAAAATTAGGAACTGCACCCACCTCTCTGGTCTCATACTGCCTAAGGCATTTGACTGCTAACCAGAAGGCTGGCGATTCAAACCCACCAGCCACTCCTCGGAAGGAAGACTGGGCAATCTACTTCCATAGAGATACTGTCTCGGAAACCCAAGGAGGGGTCTAAGTCAGAATCGCATTGATAGCAGTGAATTTTTTGTGCACCCACTTCACTTGTTTTTTTTTTTTTAATTGTGATTAGGGTGCAGATTTGTAGAGCAAATTCATTTTCCATTCAACAGTTTATACACATTCTGTTTCATGACACTGAATTACAATTCCCACAGTGTAACAGCTCTCTTCCCACTTTCTCCCTGTGGTCGCCTTTCCCTGTGTCATTTCCTATGCATTCCTGCCCTCTGAGCTTTCTCCCTGTATAAATGCTACCCTTTTGATCTCTCGTGGTTGATTGTTCTAAGGAGTGTACCTACCTGGTGAAAATGTTTACGTTCTACGCCTGTCTGTTGCTTGAGGGGAAGCTACAGGAGTGAGTTCAGTTCTAGGCCTGAAGGGTGACCAGGGGTCACAGAGTTTTTCATCAGTCTCTGTCAGACTAGTATGCCTGGTGTTCTGTGATTTTGAGTTTTGTTCCACATTTTCTCCTGTGCGATCTAGGATCTGCTGCACTGATCTCTTCTGAGTGACTGACAGTGGTAGCCAGGCACCACGTAGTTCTTCTGGTCTCAGGGTCATGCACGCTGAGGTCCACATGGGACCCTAGTCCCTTGGACTAACTCTTACCATGTGTCTTTGGTTTTCTTCATTTTTCTTTGCACTGGACAAGGAGAGGCCTGTTGTTGCATCTTGGATGGGCCATTTGCACTACTTCACTCTTAAAACTATCCTAGATTGAAAAAAGTACCCTGATGCTCTGATGGCGTAGTGCCTAAGGTATTTAACTACTAACCAGAAGGCTGGTGGTTTTTTTTTTAATTGTGATTGACCACTGCTGACGGTTCTGATCAGGACCACAGTAGATGGACCCTGACAGAGTGGGAGAAAACTGTGGAACAGAGCCGCAGATTCCTTAAAAAAATAAAAAAGCAAGACTTGGAAGACTCCCCAAAACTATTGCCCCTAGATACTCTGCAAACCTTGAACCAGAGCTTACCCCTGAAGTCACCTTATGCTGAATAGCAGATTGGCTCACACAGTAAACATCACCCATGAGTGCTGTGATCCTTTAAACATATCACCTGTATGGGTCCCAAATGGTCAGCAATGACTTTCAAACAAGATGACACAGTCAGGGGACAGGGACTCCAGATGAATGGAAATGGAACCAGCAGAATGGAAATGAGAACGTCACACATGGGGAGGAACAGACCCAGTTTCACAGAATAATTTGTGTAGAAATTATGAAATGGAAACCTTAACTGTCGAATAGTTCTTTACCGAAAACACAATAAAATACTTTTTTTTTTTTTCCCCCCCCAAAAAGCCCTAGCTTGGAAGATAATTACATGGGCACCCTAGTGACAGTCTTCCTTGCTACGTCTCCTTCTCTGGTTTCTTCACCCTCTGAGGGTTCCAGAGGATCCAGCTCTTTGCTTGGGGTTACAGTGAATTTTCTCACCCTTAGGAATGAGATGGTATTATAGGAATTTTCCAAGGAGGTTTAAACTTCCTCCTGGGTAGGTAGCAAGAGTCCAAAACACTTCCCAGGAGGCGCAGTCAGAGATGTGACCGTTTATTCAGAAAAGAAGCAAAGGAACAGGGACAAGGATTATGAGGACAAAGAAAGCAGGCTTACAAACATTGCTAGCAGTTCAGTGCCCAGTGGTGGCAGGCCAGAATGGATCCAAGATGACTGCTAACCCCTCCCACTTAGCAGGGATACTTATACCAGAGTTTGAGGAATTGGGGGTGGGGTTTTATGACTGGGAATAAGGGGGCTACATGACTGGTTTCAGACTGGGTGGTGCCAGGTCCCAATCGGGAGGGGGCCCTGGGCAGTGTCCTACAACAATCACCTGTGTATGCTCTGATAAGATACTGCCATTAGCAAGCTTGATGGCTTGAAACTACTCTAAGATTAGGTTAATACATGCCAGGAGGAGCAAGGGAATAGTGACAAGGGGAGGTAGGGAAATGGCTTGTAGTTCTTGTCCAGACAAGATGGAGTCTGGGAGCCATTTTAGGAGGTTGCAATTACTGACCATACAGATGGGTTTGGGTGTAAGTTTTATTCTGATATATTTTCCCATGTGTTGAGTATATGTTGTATTTGTTTTTAAATCCAGGAATGGAAATTTCAGAACATCAAAAGAAACTCGCCATGTTAAATGCACAAAGGGCAGGACATGGAAAGGCCAAAGGTAAGGTTTGCAGAAGGCTCCATTCACCACCTTCATGTGTATCAGCATTGGAATTAAAATGGGGCACAGGGCCGGCCAGTGCCATGCACAGAGGCCAACCTGAAACAAGAAGAGGAGTATGGGTGAAACTCAGAAGGATGGGGCCAAAGCAGTCTGTACCTAGTCTTGAATGTGCCTCAGGATTTACTCATAATGAATGTGGGTGTATAAAATGCCCTGGGGTTCCTCACTTTTCATAAAGCAGTGAACAAAAAAACCAAACTCACTGCCATCGAGTTGTTTCTGACTTTCAGAGGCCTTCATTGAGTTCCTAAGGCTATAAATTTTTATGGAAACAGACTGCCTCATCTTTCTTCCATGGGGTGGCTGGTGGATTTGAACCACTTACCTTTTAGTTAGCAGTGAAATGACTTACCCATTGTACCACCAGAGCTCCTTAAGGAGCAGTGAAATGTTTCTTAAAATGGTGCCAGAAAGCTTCTAGGCCCCCTGTCCTGCTGACCCCCTCCCTGCCCCTCTGCCTTCTGAGGGAACGTTGGTATTACCATCTGGCTAATGTAGTCTACCAGTTGGAGGGAAATGAAGGTCTCTTGTCAGCTATTGGAGACTCTCTATTTAAGAAAAGAACTCTGAAACTCCATGGAGCAAGCAGTGAATTCGACAAAAAGAAGGCCCAGTAGCTCATTGAGCACGGCAGTGCTGTGACCCTGTGCTCCCATGAGAATGCCCCAGGGGTGGGGGCTGTCATTAAAATAAGGAGCTCTGCTGGTGTAGTGGTTAAGGCATTCCACTGCTAATCAAAAGGTCAGTGGTTCAAACCTAGCAGCTACTCCACAGGAGAAAGATGAGGCCATCTGCTTCTATAAAGATTGACTGCCTTGGAGACCCTATGGGGGCAGTTCCACTCTGTCCTGCAGAGGTGCTATGAGTTGGGTTTGGTTTGGGCTTTGCTTCTGTCCAGATTGATCGCTTTGGAGACTCTATGAGGCAGTTCTACTCTGTCCTCTAGGGGCGCTGTGAGTTGGAATCAACTTGATGGCAGTGAGTTTTTTATTATTAAAATTCGGGCACCTAGGCCATGTACGCAGGAGCTCCACTTTGCAAAAAAACAATCTTCCACATGCAGATCATGTAAATTATCTAGCCCAACAGGAATTAAATAATATACATAGTCATCTTAGGAACTTTCTTTTAGATTGACTTTCTACTCTAAGAGTAATTTATCCTGTTCAGAATTTTCCTAAATGAAAATGAAGAGCAAGTAAGCCCTGGATCGAACCACAGCAGCACTTAGTATTTCCCTGTGCCTGTCTCCAGTGCAGATTACCCCCACGCACACTCAGGAGAAGTGTCTTCACAGCAGAAAAACCCTTTTTTATTAGTTTTGCATTCCTTTGAATGGCCAGTGACTAGTAAATACCCATTGTTAGAATCTGTTAGTTTCACTCCCTCAGCCTGGATGGTAGCTGTGTGTCAGGCACCTCCTATGTATCATCTTATTTAATCTCCTTCCTCAATAGCACTGTGAAGGCACTCTGATGGCACACTGGTTAAGCAGTGAGCTGCTAACCAGAAGGTCAGGGGTTCAAGCCCATCAGTCACTCCATGGGAGAGAGATGTGACAGTCTGCTTCTGTAAAGATTTGCAGCCTTAGAAACTCTCTGTGGCAGTTCTGCTCCATCCTATAAGATCTAGTCAGAACCGACTCGACAGCAGTGGGTTTTAGTTTGGTTCAAGCACTGTACAGGAGCTCTGATGGCACACTGGTTAAGTGCTCAGCTGCAAACCAGAAGGTCAGGGGTGTAGTCAGGATGTGACATTCTGCTTCTGTAAAGATTTACAGAAGCCTTAGAAACTCTCTGTGGCAGTTCTTCTCAGTCCTGTAGGGCCTCTGCAAGTCTGAATTGACTCAGTGGCAATGGGTTTTGGTCTGGAAAGGAGTCCTGGTGTGCACACTGTTAAGTGCTTGGCTGTTAAGCAGAAGGTTGACAGTTCACAACCACCTAGCCACTCTGTGGGAGGCAGACCTGGCGATCTGGTTCCGTCAAAGATTGCAGCCCGGAAAGTCCTGTGGGACACTCTGCCCTTCCCCTGGGTCATCCCAAGTGAGCGTGGCTCAACGGCACCCTACACCACCATAGCCGGAAAGGGGTCTCTGGGTGGCCCAAACAGTAGAGGGTCTTGAGAAAGAGCAAGGCCTTCAACAAGAGGGGTTGACACAGTGGCTGCAACAAAGCTCCAACATGGCGGCAGTTGGGAGGGTGGTGCAGAGTGTGGGGTCACTGTGAGCTGAACCAGCTTGACAGCACCTGACAGCAACAGCTAACCCAAAGGTTAGGGGCTCAGACCCACCCGGAGGCGCCTCGGAAGGAAGGCCTGGAGATGGGTTTCCCAGAGGGCACCACCTTGAAAACCCTATGGACTGCGCACTAGGGGTTGCCGTAAGTTGGAATCATCTCAGTGGCAGCTAATAACAATAACACAGCCCTGTAGGAGATCCCTGGGCTGCACAAATGGTATGCACTCATCTACTAACCTAGAGGTTGGTGGTTCGAACCCACTCAGCGGCCTGGCACTGCAGGAGAAAGACCTGGTGATCTGCTTCCAAAAGATTACAGCCAGCAAGCCTGTGGAGCAGTTCTCCTCCGTAACCAAGGGGTCACCATGAGTCAGAGTCGACTCACTGACACAGTCCTGTGAGAGAAGGAAGACCTTAAAGTCAAGGGCAGACGTGGGTTCAGAGCCAAGTCCTATGTGTTTCTGAAAGTAGACATGATACTCTTGCATTATATCCTGCTATTCTGATTTGTAGCAACCCCCGTTGGGTTTCCAAGGTGGTAAATCTTTATGGAGGTAGATTGCCCCATCTTCCTTCCGTGGAGCGGCTGGTGGGTTGAATTGCCAGCCTTCTGGTTAGCAGTCAGATGCCTTATGCCACTGTGCCACCAGAGCTCATAACTTACATAGTTACCTTTTGATTTGTAGCTAATTTTAATAAACCTTTTTAATTACTTCACAGATTTAGAACGCCTATTCTAATAAAACAGTCCTTTATTAAAGAGATTAATGGGTAGAATGCCCCAGTGGAGTCATCGTAATGAGAACAGACCCTTTGAGAGCACTTTCCAGGCACCGGCAGTGTTTCCATCTTAACTTACATCCACTCGGTTAAGTCCCCTGGCAGCCCAGTAGGTGCCCTTGTCCTATTCTAGAGATTAGAGAGCCAAGGCACAGAGAGGTTAGGTTATCTCGAATTTACCCAGCTAAGCAACGATGGGCTCGAGCATGACAACAATTGTGCGCGTGGCTCAGGGCCGGGCAGTGTTTTGTTCTGTTGTATGTGGGCTTGGCTATGAGTTGGAGCCAACTCGATGGCACCTAACAACAACAGCAGTGGGTGGTCAGGCCTGGGCTGAGGCAATATGAGCTATGTGCCTCCGCTGGAAGTTTGTCATCCCAGCTGGCTCCCTCGTTCTGATTCTGTCCTGTAATTCTATGTGACTTCTCGTTAGCTGCTGTGGAGTCAGCCTCAACTCGGCCGCTCCACGCACAGCAGAATGAAACACCGCCTGGTCCTGCTCCATCCCCGTGATTGGTTGGTGATCAGATCACTGGGGTCTGTAGGGTTTTCATTGGCTGAGTTTTTGAAAATGTGTCACCAGCCCTTTCTTCCCAGTCCCTCTTAGTCTGGAAGCTCCACTGAAATCCGTTCAGCATCACAGCAACACGTAAGCCTCCCGGAAGCTCCTCTGACACACGTGGACATTGGTGGTGGGTAGACCTGAGGTGCGTGGGCTGGGTCTCCAGCGTGGAAGGCAAGAACTCTGCTACTCCACCACCACTGTCCCCACTGTGTGACCTTCAAAAAAATCAAACTCACTGCTGTCAAGTCGATTCCGACTCATAGTGACCCCTCCCTGAGTTTCTGAGGTGATATCTCTACGGAAGTAGATTGCCCAGTCTTCCTTCCGAGGAGTAGCTGGTGGGTTTGAACTGCCAGCCTTCTGGTTAGCAGAGAAATGTCCTAGGCGTTATGCTACCAGAACTCGGACCTCTAGTTTTCTATTTCCTTGCCTGTCTAGTCAAGCTAACGTTTTCTCTCTCCCCTAAAGTATTTTTGTGAGGATTAAATGGGATAATGTATGTAAAGTGCCACATGGCAGTATTCAAGGGAAAAAAAAAAACCCACTGCTGTCAAGTCGTTTCTGACTCACAGCGCCCCTAGAGGACAGAGTGGAGCTGCCCCATAGAGGAGTTTCCAAGGCTGTCAATCTTTTTTTGTGTGTGTGTGTGTGATTTGGGTGAAAATTTACAGAGCAAATTCACTTTCCGTACAGCAGTTCACATAGTCTCATGACATTGAACACAATTTCCCACAATGCAACAGCTCCTCTCCCACTTCCTCCCAACAGTTACCTCTTCCCTGTGTCCATCCCTCCATGCACTCCTGTCCCCTGAGCTGTCTCCCTGTGCATACACCGCCCTTCTTTCTCCCGTGATTGTTCTCTCCAAGTAGTATATCTACCTCAGATAAATGTTCAGCTCATATGCCTGTCTTTTGTTTGGCTGGAAGCCACAGGTGTGGGTTCAATTCCAGACCCAAAGGGCAGCTAGGGGCCATAGTCTCAATGGTTCCACCAGACTCTATCAGACCAGGAAACCTAGTCCCCCCCCCTTTTTTTTTTCCTCCAAATGATTTTGAGTTTTGTTCCACAATGTTCTCCCTCTCTATCCAGGATCTCCTACACAGATCCCCTTCCAAGTGGTTGACAGTGGTAGCTGGGCACCATCTAGTTCTTCTGGTCTCATAGTCATATAGGCTGCAGGTCGGATGGTGTACCAGTCGCTAGGACTAAGTCTTTGCATGAATCTTTGGTTTTCTTCATTCTTCTTTGCACTGGATGAGGAGAAGACCCATCATTGCATCTGGATGGCTGCTTGCAAGCTTTTAAGATCCCAGTCACTACTCGCCAAAGTAGGAGGTGGAACGATGTTTTGTGTAGTATGTTACGCTAATTGAGCTTGATGTCCCCTGCGACTGTGGTCCCAAGCCCACAGGTTCATCTGCTCTGTCCTTCTGGGTAGCTGGCTGTGACTACAGCCTTGTCCCTTGTCAGCTCTACTATACGTACACCTGGGAATTCAGATTATATACATAAACTTACAGGACCACTGTCTGCCAACCCTATACATGGTCTTGGGTACACTCTCCGCTTCATAGACATACCTACTAGTTCAGCCTGTCCACCCAGCTATCCACCCGTATACCCATGTTTGCAAGGGTCTCGATCTTTACAGAAGCAAAGCCCAAACTACACCCACTGACGTGGATTCGATTCTGACTCACAGTGCCCCTAGAGCACAGAGTGGAACTGCACCACAGGGTTTCTAAGGCTGTCAATCTTTACAGAAGCAAAGCCCAAAGCAGACCCACTGCCATGGGAGGGATTGCTACTCACAGCGCCCCTAGAGGACAGAGTGGAACTGCACCACAGGGTTTCCAAGGCTGTCAGTCTTTAGAGAAGCAAAGCCCAAACCACACCCACTGCCGTGGAGTTGATTCTGACTCACAGCGCCCCTAGAGGGCAGAGTGGAACTGCACCACAGGGTTTCCAAGGCTGTCAATCTTCACAGAAGCAAAGGCCAAACCAAACCCACTGCCATGGAGTAGATTCTGACTCACAGCGCCCCTAGAGGACAGAATAGAGCTGCCCATAGGGTTTCTGAGGCTGTGATCTTTACAGAAAGGAGCTCTGGTAGCATAGTGCCTAAGGCATTTAACTGCTAACCAGAAGGCAGCGGTTCAAACGCACCAGCCACTCCTCAGAAGGAAGACTGGGCAGTCTACTTCCGTAAAGATATACCGTCTTGAAAACCCAACAAGGGTGGCTGTGAGTCAGAATCAACTCGATGGCAGTGAGTTTGTTGTTTTGTTTGGTTAATCTTTAGAAGCTGACTACCACCCCTTTCTGCTACAGAGTTGCTGGTAGGTTCAAACCGCCCACCTTTTGGTTAGCAGCTGAGCACTTAACCACTGTGTCACCAAGGCTCCTTTCACACCCAGTGTCTGAACATAAGTGTTTCCTGAATGATAGCTGGCAAGTGTACTTCTGGTTAATTTGAAAGAAGAATTGTCTGAGAATTCTTCCGTGTTCTTGGTGAGTCGCTGAGCCTCCATGCGTGTTGTTTCCTCCCTCCCGGCCCAGCTTACAGCGGGTGCCCTGTGCCGCCGCCCCACCAGAGCTTCCTCCCCATCCACCAGCGCCACATCACTGTGCCCACCAGCCTCCCGCAGCAGCAGGTCTTCGCGCTGGCTGAGCCCAAGCGGAAGCCTTCGCTCTTCTGGCACACCTTCAACAAGCTCACCCCGTTCAAGAAGTGAAGGCAGGCGGCCGCCCCTGCGCCGGGCTGTGACCAGGAGAGGAGGCAGTGCCGTCGTTGCTGTGCTGAATCCAAGGAGCGCATCGTGGACCCCGTGCTGAACACTTCTTTATGGGAGATCAAAGGAGGAGAAGACTCTGCCTTATCTTGTGCCTCCAGAACCCCAGCTGCCTTCTTGGAAGGGAGGAGGAGGTCATGATGCACAATGTTCACAGCCATGAGAAGCTCCGTGGCCTGCTCTGATGTGGCAGGGCCTTGGGGACCAGAACGTGCTCTGAAGCGGGTGCCGAGTTGGCCAGCCACGGCGGCGTGGCTGATGATGAGCGCAGCCGTCCTGACCCACCCTGCAGCTCCACTCAGAGCTCAGCGCTCCTCCACAGCCCCTAAGGAACGGCTGGGTTAGGGGGCCACATGTGCATTGGGTTGCGAAGGGCTCCAACGGGATGGGCCTGGTCTCGTGCTGCCTCTCGCCAGCACACATTTGGGCAGACCTGGAAGGAGAGCTGCTGTTGGCCACCATCGTTCATTAGGGGGCTCGTACATTAGAGGACTTACGGCTGCGTGGAGATGGCCGTGGTGTTCCCTGCTGTGGTGATGCGGGCTCCATCTGACAGGTTCCCCTTCCCGCAGGCTAGGCAAAGCGAGCATGTGGTGTCCTCATCACTTGGCGGTAGGCTGTGGGGTGCAGAAGGACCTAGG